ATGGGTTTGTCTGTGGCATTTCATAAGCACGTGTCCCTTGAACTGCATTTTCGAGTGTGTTTGTGCGTTTCTTCAGACCCACCCTGTGCAGACAGCTCCAGTGGTGACTCAAACTCGACAGAATAAGGCCTCATTAGATTCTTCAGTTTCTGGAACAGCTGTTTGGCCGAGATAAGAAAGCAAACACCAGTTAATTCTTGGATATGCTCGCAGCAGGGGAGCCTGAATCTTCAAACACGACACACAAACCTGGAAATACACACAATTATGGCAATGAATCCAGCTCATTACTGCCTAAAAGACAAATGTGCATTCTTTCTGTGCAGGTAACAAGGAGGAGAGGAAAAGAGATGAGAGTCCAAGTTGCAAACTCTTTAGTTGCCCTGTTTGTCATCACATGACCTCGCTGCCTTTTGATGAAACAACGGAGCTTGTAACGTAGGATTCTATTCCTGTTAAATCCCACATTAGGAGACTCATGTTCAGGAAATCAGAGGAAAAAAGATTTAAACAGTGAAGTGATCAGTCACTTAGAAGGTTTTGAAGTGCTAGCTCCGCATTTGTAATTTTAATTTTTTTTGTCATACCAGAAGATGTCAAGAGCCAAAATAATGGTCGCTTAGAAAATATGAATTATCAGTGAAAGGTGTTGAACACTTGCAGCTTCCATCTTGTGAGCATAAACTCTTTTTTTACATTGATCTCAGATGAAATAGATGGAATACTTGGGGTTTGGACTGTTGGTCAAACAAAACAGTCAATTTGTAGACATTACTTTGTTCAGGGGAACTTGCAATGGACATATTTTTAGACTAACCCAATCAAAAACATTGTAGCTAATCAATTGTGAATATAATCAAATCAAATAATTGTTACAGTCCTAATGACTGTAGATCAAATTTTAAATTTTCAGTCACTTCCCTGTGTCTCCGATGCAGTGTGAGGCACATAAAAAGTTCAAGTTCATGAATTCAGTCATGGGGTATGATCATGGGATAGATGCCCTCCTATTAGTGACATCAAACGACACCTGTGTTTTCACTTTATGATGTTAAAATGGAGGTGGTATAGAAAAGGCAGCTCCCACGTCTTGCGTTTGCAGTCCTTTGAAAAAGATAAAAGAAGATGGCTGGATGCCAGCTGTGGATGAAAGAATGATTGGGTGAGATGCAGGCAGCAAGGCTCATCTGTAGCACAGAGAGAGCTGCAGGCAGATAACAAATCTCAGAGGATGTATTGCATGTTGGGTAACTTTCTGTCTGTACTCGGTGGCTTCTCACAGGCTCTCAGCGGCTGTTGTTACAGATTTTGTAGTGAGGAAAAACACAAAACATACTTGAAAATCTTTGAATGAAGAGTGCTGCATCTCTGACCTGCTGCTTTTACATTGTTTGCGTACCTCACCCCTAAGTCCAGCTTTTAGTCCATATTTCACAGTTTTATACACTGTTTTTTCACATCACCAGCGTTTTTCCTCTATATCAGCCAGTTGGTTTGGCCTTATCGCCTTTTGTTTCCATCACATTCACCTCCACATATGCATTATGGAACAGTTTTTCTCTGTTCTTAAATGTGATGACAGCGTGGCACAGAACAAGAATGTATTATATTAGAGAAAGAATTAACATTACAAAAACAGCATTTGTTGTATTTTACAAGCGAGACCCCTTTATTTTTTGAGTGATTTATATTAATCATGCATTATCCATCATGTGTTTACTTTTCAAACAGAGAGTGGGTGGTTTAATTTACCTCTCTATTGAAGTCAGCCCACTCTGGCATGGCTACAAGCTCATGTCAATATTTATAAGCTTAAATATATTCTTTATACTGGGATTTCAGTGGCCCTAAGGACAGCTGCACACATTCACGTGATGTTTATGAACACACATTAGTGAGTGTCTGCTTGTGTGTATATGAAATTACAGTATATGATTTCACTGTAACTAACTGTGTAACTGCACTGTTACAAACACTGCGGAAAATATCACTTTCACCAATTTCTTGTTTAGGATCTATGGTCTCTTGAAACAACTGCATGTGTTTTTTATGTAGCGCATAGAGATATCGGCGATGTGCGGTCTGTTCTGCCGACTGCCAGACTGTTCATCAGCCCCAGAGAGATCCACTTTATATAACAAAGCATTTTGGCAGACATGACTGCAGCAGACAGTTAGGTCAGACAGTCACCCCTGGCAGTGGTGCGTGCTCATGTTTGAGCGCGTCTGCCAGCTTGTTTGTGTGTGTATTTTGTTTTTGTTTTGTTTTTTGTGTTTGTGTGCGTGTGTGTAGCTGTGTTTTATTATTTGTTCATGTCAGGCAGAGAGAGGTGTTGCATCACTCAGTAATGTGCTTCTGCACTGCTAAATCAAGTAGCTTTATTCAGAATGAGATAATAGTCACATAGGTGGAGGGAGAGAGGGAGAAAAGCCACGGGGATGATACAGTATGGTGGCCATCAGACAAACGGAGATGGGAACGAACACAGTGAGCATGAATATGTCAACATTAGATTTTACCTGTTGATACACACTAGACAGATGTGTCATTCCTTAATGATATCAGTCAATGGTATTGTGTTTGTGTTCTTTCCTTCAGTTTGCGATATACTGTAGAGTGACTCAGGAGAGGTTTGCCTACTTTGGTGCAATCATCGATCACAAAGGAGTTGTGTTTACCTTCTTTTACTTATTACGATACAGCACAGTGATTGTGGTGAGCAGATGGTTTGCTTTAAAAAAATAATAATAATAAAAAAAAAAAGATGGTTTGCTTTGTTAGATGTGACTGAAAATGAGAAGGTCACCGATCTTTCTTTAAATTTGTTTTACACTGACAATGTGCACCACCAGGGTAAAGTTGTCTGTGTAGCTGCTGTACAGTAGTCCTGACATGCATTTACATCGTTAAGCCGTGACCAGCTGTGAGCACACGGCTAACATGATAGCATGCCAAGAGCATCTTAGCATTAGTCAGTCACATTACTCTGTGTCTCCCTAATATCTCTGTAATGTGCTGTTTATTCCTCCTTAGCACATTTGTTTTTATGAATGATCATCATTAATTCAAAGACTGATTTACTGAAAAGTTATAAATCACAAACAGGACAATAAATTTACTTTTTTTCCCCATAAGACCTATGTACACCATCAACTTCTGTCTCCTAACTTTTCATCTTTGGTGGAATAGTTTATACTCCGATAGAGGAGGAGTAAATAAAAGTGGATGGTGCTGCACAACTAATAAGCTGCAGTTTGGCTATTTTTGTTTCTCCGTCCCCTCAAAGATGAGCACTGTCAAGATGGAATGTTATTGGACAAGGGTATGAATTTGCATGTTTGCTCTTGACTCAATCTGGCTTAAACAGATAGGATTTTAAGATCAGTTTCTCTGTCCTGTTTGTGAAAACCTGCAAATGGAGTAAGGGAAATTGCGAGTTAAGGCTTTCTGTGCATGTGAGTATACAGTAAGTGTAGTGCTTTAGTGTCTGTATACCTTCTCTCCATTTGGGTTACCCAGGACATAGCATCCCATTATGTGGATGAGGTTGGGTTCTGGGTTGACTTTACTCATAAAGCGACTGAGCCTCCTCCAGAATCTGAACAAGGACAGAGACAAGAATTACATATACTCAATGTGACTGACAATTTTTACAGCATGAACTACACAAGAGCAAAATAAAAAGATTTTAAAAAATGCTTTAACACACAAAACTAAGTACTTTTTTATTTGCTTACTGCTGCATTTGAAGCAGCTGTTTATATCTTGCTACCAGAGCTATGGAACAGAAGGCAAGCCTTGTGTCTGTCCCTAAAACAAGTAAACATCACCTATTCAAAGATGGTTCCCTTGGGACAGATGCATCACTCAAAACTGTGGTAGATAATGCTAATACTGAAAATGACAAACAAATGTACTGTAGAGGGTGTTGTGTGGTCCCAGTGGAACATCTGTGGTAAGTGGGATAGCATTCACAGATGGAGTGACGAATGTTATTGTGAAAATAGAACAAAGAGCATTTATATGACACATTTGTTCCAGGGTCTGATCATTTGAATGCATAATTGAAATTAATTGAACCCATCACTTTGAAATGAAATGATGATTTCTCTAGGGATGAGCCAATTTATTTTGATTTAGATCTTTATATGAGAAATTTTAATTTGATTGAACCCTTATTCTGATTATTGTTGGAGTAAAAAGCTTAATGAAAATTCAGCTGAGGTACCTCAAGGGGGTAATACTAGTACATCTACAGCCCATTTCAGACAGTAACATCGCTGGTTTCATCAGTCTGAGTGAGATCTTTGTAATCTTGTGTGGGCTGGTCTGTTAATGTGACTGCATGCAGTTCAGGCTCATCCTGTGCTGAAAGTTGACTTGTAGATGTTACTAGGTCTGGCCTAGTAAGACTGCTGCTGCAACTTTTACGGAAAAGGAAGCTCGTTCGGACATGAAGCCGACAAGTTCAGATGCTGTCAGATTAATGGAAAGGAGTGCACATCTGAAAGGGGCTTACTGTATGTGTTTAAAAAGTATAATCACTTGACAATGCTGTGTAAGACATGGATTACATATATACATTGTTATATTTGACAATATGAGGCTCTAGTCTAGGATACATCACCTATTTTAACAGAGATTGATCCACAAGTGTAAAGTAACTCACTGGCTCATATCCTCCTCCTTTTCCACCTTAGCGAAGGTTGCCACTTTATTCTTCAGTAAATACAGATGACCAGGGCCTCCCTAAGAAATACACAAGAATTAAACACAACTGCTAATTTGCCTCCTCCTAATTAAGATATTAAGAGCTTAGTTCCCTAAGGAATTATTTAATACAGTCCAGCTATTTAACCAGGGAATTTCTACAAGGATCACAGTATCACATTTTCTGTGTCCTTGTTCCCCACCTGACAAAAAATGAGCATCCTCCAGAACTTGCTTCCTCTCCTGTAAGCTGTGAGCTTCTTGTCTATTTCCTCTGCAAGAGAGAAAAAGGTTTAGATTGATGTGAATAACAGGGATGAAAAATGAAAAGAGGATCATGAAAAGAGATGGCAAACGATGTACTGAGAGAGAGAGAGAGAGAGAGAAATGTGACTAGTGAATATAAAGGAAATGTCTGGAGTGCAAGTTCAAGTACAAGTGCAGTAACGAACAGCAGAGACACACAAATAGATGTTCAAATTGAATTCAACAGCAGTACTTGTGGCAGCAGGAAATGTCACAGCTAAATAAAACGGGTCAATGATAGACAGTAAAACAGAAACCTGAAATCTATATGTGTAAATTATTCATTGGCATCCTTTCAGTTACTCTGTATGAGCTTTATTCCATGCAGAGTTCATTATGTGGGAAACTCATAGGACCATTTACTCTAAGTGCTTGTGTTATGAGCAACGCAGGATCGTTTTCAGAATGCAGAAGCCAACTTTCAGTATAATATTGGATTCATTTTGCTAACTGGTTCCGAATGAACAGACCAAATTAGCTAGATGGAAACTATTTAGACATGTGACTGCAGTAAGCTTTAATCTCAAGTGATTTTCCTGACCTTTAACTCACACAGTAGGAGTCAGGGTTCAGAAGCCACTCCTCAGGCAAACTGCTGTGCAGTCTAAGCTCATGACACAAGCTGACAGATTTCCTTGTCTTTTCAAAGGAGGAAACTGATGTCACTTCGACCCCCTCATACTGGCTGTCACGTAAATGTTGTTGTCCTTATGACAGCTTTCATCAGCTGGGGAATAATGTTGCATTTTCACAGTTCACATTTTATTTTTGTAGTGAAAATGGCTTCAGTAAGAAAAGAGAAGCTGTAATGAGTTATAAAACAGGAAATGTCTACTCACCCAAGATGTCATCAAAAGTGGCATGTTCATGGTCCTGGATACCAAACGACAAGCAGATAAAATATAATTAAATCTTTAATAATTTACCAGTGCACTAAAGCAAGTACTGTTTGAAGACTGTAAAATGTGTCGTTACCAGATAACCTTTTAGACAATGTGTCCTTAGTATGTCCAGGTATTCTAATGTGTCTGCCTGTGTAGCATGTTTATGCTTCAATGTGTTAAACTCACATAAAGGATAGGGATGATGGAGGGGTCATCTCTGCGGATTATAGTGGGAACGTACTCTGCCTTGGGGACCTTAGATGATATCAGCTAAAGGTGAAGGACAAAGACAAAACGGGCAGGAAACACTTGTTAAGTGGGATGTGAGGAAAAGGAAAGAATAGGGGATCAGAGAGAGTGGAATAAAATGCCTTCAGGGGAATGAACAACTCTATAGTTTCTAGAGAATATCTCAGATTTTAGGTAGTGTACCAGAATATCATGTTGCAGTGCTAAGAGCAACCTTTTTTTAGTTTACTTATAACCATTTTCTAAAAACCTCATTGCTAGAGATGAGAAAACACAAACTAATTGAAACCTTTTTATTTGGAGATTGTTAACCAAATTTAGTTGATATACCTTTTAATCTGACATTTTTGCAAATTTAAAATGATGGTTGAGAGAAAAGCTGTTTGTAAATGCAGTGACTGTCCCGATAATTCAGTGAGAACACACAACAGCATAAATTAGGAATTAATTTAGATGTTTGAATTTGATGGGCGGCGTCGTGGCACGTCACGGTAAGAAAGTTCTGGGTTCGAGCTCCAGGCCGCCTTTGTGTGGAGTTTGCATGTTCTCCCTGTGCCTGCGTGGGTTCTCTCTGGATACTTCAGCTGCCTCCCACAGTCCAAAGACATGCAGCTTAGGTTGACTGGTGACTCTAAATTGCCCATAGGATTGAGTGTGAGTGTGTGTGTGTGTGGTTGCTTGTCTACATGTCAGCCCTGTGGTAGGCTGGCGACCTGTCCAGGGTGTACCCTGCCTGTCACCCAGTGTCAGCTGGGATTGGCTCCAGCACCCCCCGCACCCCTATTCAGGTTAAGTGGTGTAGATAATGGATGGATGAATGTTTGCATTTGATGAAATTATCTGCAGATTGTTCCATTCCTGTCTCACCATAATTTTGGGAGGTATAAAGTCATCTCCCTCACAGGCCAGCCTCTCCATCTCCCTCTCCTCTTCCCAGTCTATAGTGTCATCGAGGCCTCCTTCATCTGGGGTACCACAGGAGGTCTGCAGGTCTCCACCTACAAGACAGTGTAACCCACCGGTGAAGAAAAGTACTTGAGATAATAGGGTGTTGGGAGCAGGGCGGGAGGCAAGAAAAGAGACACCGAGAGAAAATCTGGGAATGAAGGAAGGACTGTCCAGGAAGGTGACAGCAGTGGAGGGGGAAACAGATGGCAGATGTTTAAAAATGGCTGTGACATAAGAAAATGATAGATGGAAAAGGAAAAAGCAGAGACAGCTGGCAGAAACTGAAATGCCTCATAGTGAGTGTGGCAGCAAGATTTCTGGTTTCAGCTAACAAGGAGAGTTTTGAAAATCTCACTGGAATCAGAAGGGGCAGTGTTACTGTGACATGTAATCATAACATATAACACACTATTTATACTTTAAAATGTCAAAACAAACCTAATAGTATCTATGATGACAGCATAGTTGTGTCCTTCAGTATTTTGAATTACAACATCGTGCTAAATATGAGTTTGTCATTTCAGTTAAATAGGTTTTCTTCAGTTACTGAACATGCTAGTGGATCATTATCAATAGCAATACACCGCTGCTGAATTATTTTACAGGTAGGGGAGGATTTTATTTTATTGTTTTGTAAGTCACCACTGCTCTATCTGGATGCAGAGAGAATACCCAAAGCAGCTTGTGAATTCTCTTCATACAAGGACTATGCCAGATAATCACAAGCTGTTAGACAGGGTTTCATATAGTCAGTCAAAGACCTGTTAAACATGGTTAACACAGTGCCCCAAGTCACTGAAATATTAAACACGATGAAATAGGGTTTTTAAAAATGTCGGTAGCAATCTCCACTATCAGTGGAGCGCTGTAAACATTCGAATATAAAACCTGTATGTATGTAAATAGCAATTTGAAAAGGAGAACTGAAGAAAGGGAGTAGGGAAAAAATTGAAATTGACAAGCAAGAACTGATAATAAATGTCATTCCTCCAGACAACAATAGCTTTCCTCAAGAAAGAGACATCAACCCCACCACTAGACTCATCAGTGGTTCATTTATCTTTCACCACTCTCATACACAGAAACACTGAAGATGGAGGTGGAGAAAAAAAAACATAAAACCACAGACATTCAGACCTCGACATAGACAAACAGCACATGCAAGCAGCGCGTGTTGATTCACATATTCAAAGCCTTGGAAGCACTGAGGCACACATCACACTAACATTTGTACCACTGAACACTTAGGACTGGGACACATACACTCCATTTTGGAAGACATACTCACAGAGAGAGCATCACAAAGTTGAAGAAAGACCCATGGTCATTGGGAGACAGATGGACAGAGTCAGAGTCAACAGCAGAGACGGTCAGTTTGTGTTGGACGTGTGATTGTGTGTTTGTACATGCAAGTGTTTTGTGTTTCTGTGCGTTAGATGCCAAAACCAGGAACTCGGTTGTAACTGTAATGACAAAGTGTCATCTCTATGCAAGAGAAACAGATCTACAGTACAGACTGTACAATATCCTGTCATATCACAGTCCAGTTTGTGTCTGTACAAGTTGCAGAAAAAATGGCATACATGCTGTGGCTTTAACTCTCAAGCAACTAAATCACCATCAGCAACACTGTTAACTTGATAAATTACATTCGGCTGACTTCCAGTTTTACATCTTGGGAGAAGTCTTAAAATAACTGTAGTTGAATTTCATAATAGAAAATGTTTAATTACTAATAATCAATATAAAATAGGTCTGGCTTCAGATCACTGCTTCACTGTCTGTGTCCCTCATATCCAAAACATGCATGTGAGAGTTTCTGTATATGTTCTCACATTCCCATGTTGTCATTTTATAAATCCCAGTTTTTCTGTGGGAACTGGTGTATGCATGTTTCAGTGTGTGAGTATACAGTGTTTATAAATGAGTCCCCGGGCCAGTTTATATTTTTTCTTCCCTCAGTTTAAATGTGTGTTTTTGGAATACAAACTGACAAAAGTTTTATCAAGCAAAAAAAAAAAAAAAAAAAAATCCTCCCAGGTTTAAAACTTTTATGACTTTCACAAGGTTGTCCTTGCATGCTCCTAACTTAATCTGTTCATGCATCTTCATTACTATTTAAATGTGTTTACACTATATCAACATGGACATATTTTGCTATACATACATACACTACCATTCAAAGGTTTGAGGTCACCTCCATTTTCTACTTCTTATTATGACATTTAAGCAGTTCATGTACAGTTAATAACCTTTAAACGGTACAAAACTAAGGACTAAACTGCCAGAGGTAAACGTGTGTATGTGTGACCCCTCTTCAATGATCCACTAATACTGTAGTTTAACTTGCATCTTTTTTTTGCAGTAGTGGGGATGTCTCAACTTTTGTTGGTGACTTATCAACAACAACTTCAATCTGTATGACGGCAGTGGGAGAAGTAGTGGTGACCCCAAATATTTGGAAGGCTGTAGTAATGAACATAAATATAATATATGGTTCTAAATGTGATTTGGTTGCTTCAGAGTTAAAGACTTTACTCGCACAGGTTTTATATACCCACTGCAGTTGTTAGAAAGTGTGTGTGTGTGTATGTGCATGTACATGTACATGCGTGAGTCTGTGTTAACTCACTGTCTCTGGGCTCATGAGGAGAGTCAGTCTTGACAGGGGTGGGATCGCTCCAGGAACGGCTGAAACTCTTCGATCTACGCTCAGCGAATGCTAGTGCAGGCGGGGAAAGATAGTGACACTCGCACACACACACTAACAAGCCCACAAACTGGCTGTTTCCACCTAAAACACATAAGTGCATAGGCGGATGCAACTACAAATGCACAAATATAGTGTATATACAGTACAATGCCAACCCTCCACTGCACAAACACACAAACAAATGTCTGCAAGTGTAAGCTGTCCAACAAACACATACAGTGCACTAACAATCATATATCTCTACATTATAAAGTGTCCTGCAGCTCATTTCTGCTCATAGCACGCATTTACAAAGGCTGTTCCTGTTTCACTCAGCTATGACTTGTTGATAAAAACAGTTCAGCCCTGACAGTATTCTTAGACTACTTGAAAGTGCTTGACATGGTTAATCAACATCGTCCCTCGAGGCATCGTATTTTTCTGGCCACTGTGGTTTCGAGGCTGCTGAATCCTCGCTAATGCTTCTCTGTTCATTTTGCGGCTATAATAGTACCAACTTGTTCTTTCCTAGTACAAATTTCTTTTCATTTGTAGACATTACAAGGTTTCCTTTTAGAAATAGCTTTTGTCATTGTATCAAAATGGTTTGCCCTGTTTTGTGATAGCAGCATCACAAGTACTCTGCGACTATAAGCACAGCTTTGATTTACAGTATATAGTCAGAAACAGATTGATAGAGGTCTAATGTAGTTTAATTCCCTTAGGTTTTACTGAGGCCAGTTTCAGTTTATATACTGTATCATTTCTGTTATTTGAATTAACAGATGTGCACCCTTGCCACAAAGTTCTGCTGTGATGTAATGCTATGAAGAAGAAATTATTTGAAAAAGAAATTAACTCCAGGAGAACGAGTTGCTCCTCATGACAAGCCAAGTATGAAATGGGGAATAACTTGACATTACTGTCAGCAGCTACAACATTTTGGATTTTAGTGAATGCATACAATGCAAAAATAAGCTAAGGCACAAAATCTTGGGAGTTTGTCAGTTTTAATGGGGTTCAGGCTCACTGGTTTTTAAAAAATCCATCTCTGTGGTACTGGGCGTGACTGTCATCAGGAGTTAACAGCCTCTGTTTCCTTAAATGGAAAAATTGAAAAATGGTCTATTTTGCCAAACATTTACAGCCACTTTTACACAAATTTCCATTTGGACTTTATAGCACTGGCGTAGAGAGTAATGGCTTCAACAAAAACTTCACGAATTCCAATGAGTTTCACTGCCACCATTCAAGTACTTGCAAACCAGTGGCCCATATTTCCATTTAAATGAACTGAACTTTCCAGATTGGTCATCTGAATTGCTTGGAGATTTAAATGTGGAAACAGGAAAATGAAAAGTTAATGTATTGTTTATAATAAAGTAAAAAAAAAAAAACTTTTCTAAAGCTACTATATATGTTTGATTTATTAAGCCATACATATATTCACCAGTTAACCTGCCTTTATCCTTCATCATTTTCTTTTCTTTAAAAATTCAAAGTAAAAACACATCATGCACATCATTTGATGTGAATGCACATCAAAACCAGGAAACCTATAGATGTTGTTTCACAGACACGCTGTGACACACATACACACAACCTTCCCTCATTACCGGTCATAACTTTGCTTTCTGCCTTTTAAAAAAATATATAATTGTCTTTGTCTCCTAACTTTACATCAACCGGGGAAAAAACAGACATTCAAAGCAGTGCAACAGGAAAATACCACCTACAGCTTGCACACTCATCCTCGATGCACGCACACATGCACAGTTCACTGGCTTATCAAACACACACCGATAAACATGTAATCCTTAAGGAAATGCAGCAGAGCATTACAAAATCCCAGCAAAGCAACAGTGCTCGGTGCCACACACATGCAAAGACACACCAAAAAACAGCGAAAAATGATGGTGGGGTGGATATCGGACAATTTGAGCAAACATGTCAACCACACACATATCTGACTCACTCTGTGCTTTAATCCTTCTGCTGCCCACCATCCGAAGATGCTTCCGGAAGTTCCTGTGGGTAAAGAAGTCAAAGCAGAGGAGGGATGGTAGAGGAAGGACCAAAACATAAAGAAGAGAAAGGGGAAAGGGAGAGGGGTGGGCAGGAAACAACAAAACCAGGCAAGACAAAGGGAGAGCAGTTCAGTGTCAAGCTATTATATACACTAATGATTACTATAATATCTATTACAGAAAGTGGCTAAAAAGAGGTAATTATAGGTACATTTTCTTGTCAGTGTGAGTGGAAAATACTAGAGTGGTGTGGAAGTGATGTACCATATTGCAAAAATAATGTTCATCTTTTCATTGGATATTATGATGCAGCTTTTTGAGATGCATGAGATTCATGAATGCAACACTAGTATTATACTCAGTAGCTTTTGAGCAAACGCATATCAGAGGCAAAATTAGGGAGCTTATTTTGAACCGGGTGCATATCTGACTTTACTTATTCCAGGCAGATGGGTGGTTGTGTTGTTGATGGTAACTGTGTTCAACATGTGTATTCTGGCCAAGATGTTCACGCTTACTGGGTTTTATTTATGAGTATAGAGCTTACAAGTTACAGTATATCCAATGCCAACTTTCACTGCCAGTGCACTGAAAGTATTGTGCCTAGGACGTAGCAAGGCCAATAGTTTAAAATGTACTGTAGTTGTCAAGCGCTGATTTGTAGAACATTTTACATTTGTCGGTGAATTTACCCCCATTATTTCAGTCTGCCAAATTAGAGTTCAACGTCCTATGTACAGTCAATAACATTGCTCAGGCTTTGAGGTCATTAAAGATTACTTTATCACAAATTTTCCATCCATAAGTAAACAATCATGGATGCATAAAACTGGCCATTATTCAAATGCGGTTATCGAATCTAGACTTGTTTCTCACTGTGGCTAATGAAGCTCTACAATGAAATATATTTTTCTCTTGACATTCTTACCGACTAATGAAGCAATATTATAATTGCTTGTTTTTGTGGTCAATGTTTTACTCATTAAATAATACTACTCATACTGCTATATTTACATATACTTAAATAGTAATTTACAGGATTCGAAAATAAACTTTTTAGTCAGAGTAAAACAATATAATTTTACATTATTTCATTTTTGAACACTATATTTTGCAAACATCACATTTGGTCCATTCACTCATTCCTGTTTCACACTGTTCATTAACAGAAAATGTGTTATAGCTAATTAGCTAGCCTTTAAAAAACTCTGAGGTAGTTCCTCTTGAGTTTCTGCTTTCTGCTTTTATTAGCCTCATAAAAGCTGTCAAGGGTTTTGTCTCCTAGCAACAATATAACCTTCGGACAAAACTGCTGTAGTCTACGTATTTTCTGTCGTCTACATATAAGCAATTAAATATAAAAGCTTTGCATTATCAAGTTCTACTTGAAATCCATAGTCTTTAATAACGGCAAAGCAATCAGGTTGATAGTTTTTCTCTGTGACTTGCTGTCTGATCCTGATGTGATGTTCTATTCAAGAGCCCCAGATAGACGGCCTTTTATCTTTCCGCCTCCCTCCCATGTTGCACCTACACACAGATACTCAACACACATGAATAATGGTCTCTGCATGTGGTTTGTATTTGTGTGTGTGTGTGTATGTGTGTTAGGGGAAGTATATCCATGTTTATCTGGCAGTGTAGAAGCACATAAACACAGCAACACAAATGGATATAAACTAGTATTTGTCCTTGGTTTATCTCCATAAAAATATAAGCACACAACAATTATCTTGCAACATGACAAACTGCTATTTTTAATAGCCAAATACATCATGTCAAGGCTTTGCTAAAACAGAGCATATACTGTAGTACTATTACTAATTACAGGTAAGTAACATCTCTTTTATTTACCTGTAATTAGTAGTAATAAGTAACATCTCTGTTACTTACTTTGTACTTTAATAAAATGATTTTTAAAAACACTGATACTGTACACTGTATCAGAGAGAACTTCACCCTGCATGTCCTGAGCTAAAACCTCAGCTGCCCACAGAAGAGAAGGGTGGAGACAGTTGATGAGATTTAAACAGAAGGAGAGGAAATGTGAGAAAAACCATGTCCACCTCCACTTTCAATGACAAAGGCAATCTGACAGGCCAGCCCTCCCCCTGCTTCAGTTTTTGAAACAGTACAGATATGAGAGAGCGGTCTCTTCCCGGTAAGCAGGGCAGTGACTGATGCGTTTAATTTTGGAAAACATAAGAGGAACCGCATGAGCAGCAACAGATAAAATGTCTAATCAGTAGTGGTGGAAGAACAGCTTAGATAATTTACTAAGTGGTAGTAATACCACATTTATAAATGTGCTTTATTACAAGTAGAAGTGAAAAGTATTGTCATCAAAATAGTAAAAGTACTTCATATGCAGAATGGCCCATTTCACAATATGGATTATATTATTTGGTTATTATTATTCGTGCATTATTGTTTGCATTACTTTTCCGTTTTTAAAGATGAGTAGCACAATAAGACATCATTTATTCATGGAGTATTTTAGTGATCTGAATCTGTAAAGAAACTGCTAACAACATGTAGCTGAGTGAAAAGTACAACATTTGTCTCTGAAACATAGTGGAGGTGACAAAGTAGCATAAAATGAAAATAGTCAGGTAAAGGAGAAAAACACAGATTCAGTGTGGCTTTAAAAAAGGGAAAGTGAACATCTCAGATCAGTGAGAACCAGGAAAATCTCTGAGATACCAGAGGGTGATTAAGAGCTAAAATGGCTCTTCTACTTTTTCCTTGCTGTTGTGTTTCACTATGGTTAAAATTAATCTGCAAATACAAACCCAGCAGGAGTCTATAAGGGGAGAGAATCATCTTCTGCTTCACTGCTTGACAGGAATCCTGCCTGCAATCTGCTACTCTATGAAAATAATTTCTGCACTGCCCTTTGGCTTAGGCCATGTCTATATTAATGCTGATACTTTGAAGAGTTTGTAGGAAGTTCTTCTATTTTTTTTTCTTTTTTTAAAGTTTACCATCCAGATTGAAATGGCAATAAATAGGCCGACAAAAATTTGGACACGTTGAGCCAGCAGCTCTGAACCGTTTCTGTTTTCTACGGTTTTCAAAGTTGTTATCGTTTGTTAGTTACAGAGAAATGGAACTATGAAAGTTTTCCCAAGACCAGCATTTTTTAAATGATTTGTTTTGTGCTGTTTTCATGTTTGATCTGTTCTCAGTCAACAAATACCAAGGTTAGTGAGGATAAAAAAAAAGTCCAAAATGATAAATTATACATAAATGTCTTCAGGTGAATATGGCCTTATCATGATCCCTGTTTTTTCCAAGTAGTGGTTTCAGGGGAATGATGCAGAATGTTATTCCTGAGGATTGCAAAGAGGGTCCAAAAAGTTTGTTCTACACACCCCC